GGAAAGTTGTATGTTTCATTGTTGCTACACTGCATCCTGACTGGCTCCTCTCCTCCCCTTGACTCTTCTGTAAGGGGATGTCCAGTTGCTACATATGGGTTTTGGGGACTGTACTCCCCTCATTCACAATGATGTGATGTTTGGTTCTTTGTTGCTAACACTAGAGATTTCAAAACTGGGTCAGCCCTGCGGTAACCAATTCTGTTTTGCATGGAGCTTCTGGCTAGTCTTACATACAAGGCCCCACACACACACACACAAAAATGGAAAAAGCTCTGCTGAGCGGAACTTTCAAATTACACAATTTACCCCCAAGGCATGTATCCAGCACCTAGCTCTGATTAGTGCACCCAGTGGCATTGCATGGGAAGGTTCTCTGGTCACAGTGTTTTCATAAAAAGTAGTTTTGCCCAAACCTCGTTTTTTTTGTGATGGCCAATTTAGGAGAACATCATGCAGCTGTGAAATTTGGTTTCCTGCTCAGGAAAGATGCCGTAGAAACTGTTGTGGTGCTGAACACGGCTTACGAGGACAGGGCTACGGGGAAATCAAGCATGCCAGTGGTTTTCTCGTTTCCAAAACAGGGAAATGTCAAACTGATGACAAACCTTTTTCTGGACATCTGTCAACTTCGTCCTTCGGATGAATATATCCACAAAATTCATGTATTTGTACTCAAAGACCGATGACGGACCGTGGAAGAGATGGGAAAGTTATCTGGACTGCATTGGAGCTTCGTTCAGCGGATTTTAACAAGATTTGGGAATGAGAAGGATCGCGGCAAAATGCGTGCTTCAGTTCTGACCAGAGAAAAGGGCATCGAGTGTCCTGCTTTGAAAGAACAGCTCCCAAGCAACCCAGACTTTTTCCAAGGGCACTACGGTGGCGAGAGGTGGTGCTGTTCTTAAAAGTCCAAAAGCAAACATGAGTCCAGCCGGCGGAAGCCACCACTGTCACCTTGCCCAAAACAAGCTCGTCAAGTGAAACCAAAGATCAAGACGATGCTCATTTGTTTTTTTGATGTCAGGGGGACAGTGCACTTGGAATTTGTTCCACCAGGTCAGACTGTTTATCAAGTTTTCTATTTAGAGGTTCTAAAAAGATTACATAACAGTGTGTGGGCTTTTGTGTCAGACAGGTACTGTTTGCCACCAAGACAATGCACCTGCTCACACAGCCTTCTCATTGCGCCAGTTTTTGGCAAAAAACAGTGCCTCTCTTGCACCACACACATGACTCACCTGACCTCTCTGTGCAACTTCTTTGTTTCCGAAAATGAAGAACATGAAAGAAGAGAGATTTGATGAAGTGTAGAAGAGGTGAGAAAAAACCGAGGGAGGTGCTGCCATCCAAACAGATGGGCTTGAAAAATTTCCAAGAATGGAATCACAGATATGACAGATGTATTATTAAGTGTAATGGAGAGTACTTTGAAGGTGACAAGGTTGTTATGTAAAAATTTTTAAATACATAACTAAAAAAAATTCCATGGGTTTTTTTTTGGAGGGGCATCAGGATACCCTCATCCATGAAGATCAGTATTTTGTGGAAGAACCCGATCATCTGTGCACTGGCACAGAGAGGAACTGGAAACACAGGGAATCCTGGGCAGGTGATTCCTTCAGGACCAGTGGTGAGAATACCGGGAGGATGGGCTGGAAAAGGAGAACGGAGTACAAAGATCTACATATTACCTCCTCCCTGGGGGACAGACAACAGAAATGTGGATGAAGGGAGACATCGGGCAGTGTAAGATATGACAAAATAATAATTTATAAATTATCAAGGGTTCATGAGGGAGAGGGGAGCGGGGAGGGAGGGGGAAAATGAGAAGCTGATGCCAGGGGCTTAAGTGGAGAGCAAATGTTTCAGGAATGATGAGGGCAATGAATGTACAAATGTGCTGAACACAATTGATGTATGTATGGATTGTGATTTGTTATGAGCCCTAATAAAATGATTTTTTTTTAAAAACCCATCATCTCCTTTCCACTTTCCACAAACCATTAAAAGTCCCCTCAGATAAGATCCCATAGGACCTTGACTATCAAACAACAGCTGCTTGGTGCCTTTGTTGGGGGTGGAATTACATTTATTGATTAAATTAAGGGAAACTACTGTCTTTACACTGTTGAGCCAACAGGAACAAATTCAAGGTATACTTCCGTTTGTTTAAATATACATCTGTGCTCCAGGAGTTGAACTTTTAAGTTTAGATACACTCCCTGTCAAATAATTCTTATGAAATTAATCTTTTCTGTAGCTCTTCTAAGTGGGTTCTCTTGTATGTTCTATGTTGTCGTGTGAAAGCTGTTGAGTTGAAGCATGAGTTCAATGTTACTGTTTGAATGGCTTCATCACCCTTCTCCAGGGGTTTTCAAACGTCATTTGCAGACACCAAAGCCCACTGCTATTGCAACCAGCTCCAACCCACAGTGATCCTGCAGCCTTGGCAACTGGAAAGTTTCCCTTCTTCATCGTTCCAGCTAGTCTAGCTCAAGAGCCCTGCTTTTATGGTTGTTGTAGTTGGGCTGCTACTTCAAGGTCAGCAGTTCAGAACCACCAGACGCTCTGCAGGAGACAGAGCCCTCACTAGACAGTTCTACTAGGTCCTATAAGGGTTGCCTGGAGTCGGAATCGCCTCAATGTCAGTGAACTGGGGAGTTGAGCCCGTGCATACAGAATAGTGAAGCAGCTCTGGTGGCATGGTGGTTACATGTGGAGCTGCTAACCACAAAGTCAGCAGTTTGAATCCAAACACTCCATGGGAGAAAGAGGCAGCTTTCTACTCCATTATGGCCCCAGGAACCCCCAGGGGCAGTTCTACCCTGTCCTACAGGGTCATTATGAGTTGGCATTGACTTGATGGCAGTGAGTTTAGGGTTCCGTTTTTTGAGTCAGTGTGTTTGCTTTACGTGGCAGCCATGTTTCTGGGAGGGAGGCACATACACCCCACTCATCAGCCTACAGAACTCAGGGCCCTGGCCAGCATAAATGCTGGGGTCAGACAGCACACTGATGGGTTGTGCCAAAGTCAGCTTTCGGTGAATAAGGGGGTGGGCAGTTATCTACTAACACAGAGCGTGCCTTAGAAAACGCCATTCCGGCAGACTCGTTTCCATACAGCTTACCTGAAATAAAAACTACATACAGGTTAATGATAACCTGTAAATATGAAACTTGGCTACAAACCAGCTGTTTTACAAACAGTACCTGTTTTCGGCCCCACCCACCCCCCAAAAAAATCTGGAGGATTTTCACTTTTACAAACAGACCAAAGCAGACCCAGGTTTTGCAGGGAGCCAGTGTGGAGGCCGCATGCACAGAGCGAGTGTGTTGCCCCAGTCCTTCCCGAGCACCTTAGGATCAAGTCTCCATGGCTCTGAATTTGGCAGACATCCTGCTCAGGTGGTTTCAGGGATGATTATGGGTTCTTTGGGGTCCGGCCGCACTCACAAACATTCCCCACATAAACTAATGTAACTGTTACACCGTTTTTGGCTTGTGAAGGGTTTCAGAAGCGCTCTTGGCTAGCAGGGGAAAGCTACACGTGCGGTCCCGTCACAGCCTGCCGAGACCTGCAGAAAGCGGACGTCCTCTTCCCCGCACGCAGAAGAGCCCTTCAGCAGCAAGAGCCTGGTGGCCTCACCGCCCTCATCTCACCACGCGCTCAGCTGCTGGCCATGACCTCAGAGGGGAACAGAGGTGTCAGGCCTCACCACGCTGCAAGTGCCTAAGGCAGTGGTTCTCAACCTTCCTGGAGCCGCGACCCTTTAATACGGTTCATGTTGTGACGATGCCCCCCCAACCAGAAATTATTTTTGTTGCTACGTCATAACTAATTTTGCTGTTAGGAATCGAGCAACCCACAGGTTGAGAAGCGCTGACCTAAGGGATCATTCCAATGGTGAGCAGAGGGAAGACCCAGTGTCTCCTGGGCCACAGAAGTCCACAGCCAAGGACAGCCCGTCACTGTGGTCTCCTGGACAGTGAGCATTCTGATAGCCTAGTGCAGCTCCGTCACCCAACAGCTCAGCGGCCCCGGAACAGCAAAGTCCCTGGTCTGAAACACAGACCACCCCCATCCTGTTCTCAGAGGGCTTTCCTCCACCAACCCAAGCTCCAGCACATGCTTACAGCAGGACAGGCTCCGCTAGGCTTCTTTCATAGAAGCCTGCTGCACCAGGACCCTCATCTAACTGAATTACCTGTGGAAAAGCCAGACAAAGAATGGCGCACAGGCAACCAAAGGTGCCCTTGAGCAGGTTATGCTGCAGAGAAGGTAAGTCATGTGAGTGGGGAACAGGTCTGGTTTAATCGAAGCTCTTACGAAGTTTGGTTTAAAACGTGAATGGAAGCACAGCGATATCCAAAGGGTTTGGCAATGGTTTATTTTTTCTCTTTCCAGTCTTTGAGCCCAATACATGGATTTGCATACACTTGATTCTGAGAAACAGGAAGTTCCACACAGAGCATGGGGCCCAGCGATCCAGGCCCGGAGAGGCGGCGCAGCGGGCAGGAGCCCTGGAAGGAATTCGTTGTCTGGGATGTCACCTTCACAGTCGGGGAGGGTCCAGTTTGGGTTAGTGTGTGAAGTGGCAGGAAGTTCTAGTTTTCACTTGACATGGTAACCTTCCATCTTTGGTGGGCAGCCTGCGTCCACTTAGAAGCAGCACAAGATGTTGTCTACACTACTACCAAATGAATATAAGGCCACGATATTTACTGTGAACAACTCCCTTAATGTAGTTTTAATATCAACATTCTTCATCCTCCTGATGTACAAAGTGTTTGAACTGAACTATAGCTACAGCTAATTTTCATTAAAGTACTACATGTCAGAACTCGCATATTAAAATTATTTATCCTTAGATAAAATATCCAAGGGAAATCTCACCAGTGGTGAGAATCCCTGACATGCTTAGTAACAGAGCCACAGGCAAGGCAAGGGGTGAATGTGGTCTGGGTGTCACTCTCCCGTGATTTACACAACAAACAACACTAGGCATGCAGCCACCCAGCCAAGACCCCCCCCCACCCAGCAGCTGGCAGGCCTCAGAACCCCTCTGCAGGAACAGTCGAGTCCAGTCTCCATCAGAAGGTGCTGGTTGAGGTGGTCAGACGCCTCCCAATGTAGATCCTTAAAAGAAAAGCCCAGGTCAGAAGGACTGGTATTAGAGCTTAAATTCTGGGCACCCGGTTTGCAGGATGCTATTGCTGACAAGGTACGATCAAAGTCCCTTTGCTGAGTCCCCGCAGGGATTGAATTCCCGCAGACCACTGGCCAGGGATGTGAACAGCCGTGCACTTAGAACTACTGCATCAGAAAGTGAGTGAATGTAGGTATCATTAGGTTACATTTTTACACCTTAACATTTGTTCTCACTTTGGACTCACTTTTGTTCCTTTTATTATTTTCCGCTTGGGGGACGGAGGCTTTTCTGTATTCCAGTTTTCTGCTGTTGGGTTTTGGGGGGTATGATTTTCTTTATATGAAATGCAGGACGGGTACCGTATATATTCGTGTATAAGCCAAGTTTTTCAGCACATTTTAATGCAGTTTTTGTGGTACATTAGATGCCTCAGCTGATATTTGGGTCAGCTTATACTCGAGTATATATGGTACATCTACTGAAACAGTCACGAGACTAAAAGTTTCTTAGGGCTGAAGGGAGAAGTTGGGGAAAATGAGAGCTCATCACATACCAGTGAAGAGAATGTTCTAAAGTTGGTTATAATGCATTCAAATCATGGAGTTAGGGTGCGTGAATTATGTGCCCATAACAAAAGCACTGAACATCAGTGTGTTCTCGTGCAGGGCTTCCCACAGCTGAGGTGGCAGCAAACTGGAGGCAGCTTAGGGAAGGGACTTGATAATGGACGTCAAGTTATGAAAACACACATTTTAAAAATCTTTGTAATGAGTCACCTTCAGCATGCCCATGTAGCTTCTATCATCCATCAGGCACAGTGCCCCACGCACACAAGGCAGGCGCCTACCCCACCCCACCCCCTGCCTGAAGGCCACTGCGATGGGGGAGTGTGCCCCCACCTAGGCTATAAGTCACCAGGGTGGGCGCATGGCTAACATGTTCAGCTGCTGATTGAAGGTCGAAAGTTCAAGTACACCTAGAGGCCCCTTGAGAGACAGGCCTGGTGACTGGCTCCAGAGTGAGCCCCCGAGAGCCCGCAGGGCAGTGCCCACCACCTGGGGAATGGATCACCTACCCAAGGCCAATGGCCAGCAAGTGAGAGAGCAGCAGAGATGGAAGGACAACCTTCAGGAACTCTGCCGAGAAGACGCCCCCCTTCTTCATGACACTCGTGTTCCTCATGCTGAGGCTGGCCGTGCGCTTGGGGTGCTTGAAGAGGAACTCCCTGGGGCGGGAAAGAGGCTTTAGTCCCGTGCTCCGGCCAATGTGCGGTCAAGGGAGACCCATGGGGTTAGCAGAGACTCACTTGGGGGGGACGTTCTCTGGCCGGCTTGACCAATCCCATATCCAGTCCGAGTTTCTCTTCAAGATGCTTTCGACTTCCTTCCTCCTCTCGATGTAGTCTTCCTCAGACTACACAAAGGGGCGGGACGTGAGGGCAGTTCGGCCGCAGGGCTTCCGTGGGGAGGGGAGGGAAGCGTTCCTGGAGTGCCCTGGAGTGGGCCTAGCCCCTCACACTGCTCCGCCCTCACAGGGCCCTTCTGAAGGACAAGGGTTCCCAAGGAAGGGAAGAGATGTTGAGGGAGGTGCTGGCAGCACAGTTAGGGAGGCACCCGAAGTGGCCCTAACAGGCCATGGCTGGTCTGTCAGCTTCTGTGTTGCTGGGATGCTGACAGCTCGTGACCACCACAGGTCAGCTCTGGTGGACAATTTTCCAGCAGAGCACCCAGACCAGGACAGACTGGGAAGGGAGGCCTGGTGATCACCTTCTGAAGAACCTGGCCAGTGACCACCTGAACGGGGTCAGACAAACACTGGTTTACGTGCCCTCGGAGCCCTCGGGCTGGAAAACTCAGACCCAAACCCCCCGCATCAAGTCCATTTGACTCATGGTGACCGTGTACCGGTCAGTCATTGTTATGGAAGCACATAGCCCAGCCCTCTCCTGGGAGCAGCTGTAGCCCCATCTCTCCCCTGGGAGAGGTGGGTGGGTTTGCACTGCAGGCCTGTGGCCAGTATTCATCCCATAATATCACCAGGGCTCCGCCCTCAAAATGTAGAGGGAATTCAACTGTGTCTGTTCAGGCCAACATTGCCTGTCCTCTGCAGGACCGTGCTGAGCACAACTAGACAAGAGGTGAACAAAGTACTACTGATACCCACCCTCAGGAGTCAGCGCAGAGTGGAGACTAGAATACATTATGGCAACAGCCCTGCGTCATCTACTCGTTTCAGGTTTGTGGCCTCAAGCTAACAACGTGGAGTGAAGAAATGCTCCGGTCTTTGTTTGATGAGGGAAAGGAACCAGCTGGCTAGCTACTGGTGCTAATTACCCAGGCACTAGTAAGCAAGTGGTATTGGAAAGGCTTGGGGCATGATTTCGAGGGCAACTATGATGCCTTATGAGAGGCCTCTGAGAAAGGAGCCCAAGAATCTGAATCCCCACCACCGTGGTGGGGTGGCTGAGTGGTCCCGAGTGCCACCAGGGGAAGCCAGGCTCTCCGAGACCTCTCAGATGCTGAGAACCACTCACAGTCCAGTCACCAGCACGTCTTCGATGACTCCTGTGGTAGCCCTCACCTTAATCTGTGCATGCACAAGAGGGTCACCCTGTGTACCCCTCGCCCAGGCCCCACTGAGCAGTAGGAACGGTGGGAGTAGAGGATGCCGCAGCTCAATGTGAAGCCCATTGTAGGCTTGTAGGGCCCCCACTCCCCAGAGCTATAAAAAGGGGGCAAAAGACACTAAGAGCCAATTTGACTGAACTTCAACCATCATCACACAGACCTGAAAAACAGTCCAGTGAGCTCACCTGAGAGCTGTTCTTTTCCCCAAGGCTGTGGGCATCTGTCTCAGAAGTTCGGTTTGTGTCCTGTGGTGTCTGGGAGCGTGGTGGACTTCACAAGGTATGGTTAAGACATGTGGGAAGAGCAAGGACCTTGTTAGCATCTTTCTACTGTCAGGAGCAAACCCCAGAGGCAAGGCAACACCCCCTCAGGGGGGGGTGCTCTCACCTGTTGAGCACATCTTCCCTTCCGCCCTGCACCAGGCAAAGACTAATTTATCCTTCATGTTCTGGTCTTTATGTCTAAGCATAACAAGAGTCAGCTGCCCCTCTTCCAGGGGAAAGATAGCGCTGCTGTGAGGGGCTAGCCTCCTCAGTGTGCCTGCCCGTCAGCAGCCCCAGTCCTGACTCTCCACCAGGCACACCCTTGCCGCCACCAGAGGACAAGGACAATTCTAATATGGCCTGCTGCTCATGCCGACTGGCGGTAGGTACCATCTGCCTCCTCAGGAAGCCAGCGCTATGGCCCCCTTGTGGCGCCGCTTACCTGTCACAGTGGGAGCTCTTGGAGCTGCTCCGTCCAGACTCGTGCTGGGCATCCAGCAGTATTTTCTCCATGTCACCATTATACATGGACACCGAGGCAGGGACGCTGCCCCCGTTCCCATTGCTGCTGAAGTGCAATTCCACCCAAGAGCCTGTGGGAGACCAAACAAAGAGTACGTTCCACCCCGGCAAAACCATCAGTTCAGACCACCAGCTGCTCTGGGAGATATGAGGGTCTGCATCTCAGGAGTGAGCCCTCCACAAGCCCTCCCTTTTAACTGCACATCTCCACAACACACCACCTACATGTCCATCAACGGCTGACTGTCCTCGCCTTTCTCGGTACAGGGCGGCCGGCCGGCCGGTCCCTTGGGCATGGAGGCAATTCATCTGTTTACCTCATACCATTCCTGGATAGCACGGGAACGCTCAAGCAATGTACTGGGCCAACCAGAGTCCAGGGACCCGGGAGGCTTACTGGAGGGGCGGTTAGGAGAACATGCTGCAGGGGTGTTTGCTTGAAAGAGTTAAACTGGTTTCTCACCTTGGCTGACCTAAGAGCATTGACCACACACTGACCTGGGGCCTTCCAAAATTCACACTGTTTTATTTAGATCAGCGATTCTCAACGTGTGATTGTGACTCCTTTGGGGGTTGAACAACCCTTTCACAGGGGTCACCCAATTCATAACAGTAGCAAAATTACAGTTCTAAAGTAGCAACGAAAATAATTTCATGGTTGGGGGTGTCAGCACAACATAAGGAACTATATGAAAGGGTCGCGGCATTCGGAAGGTTGAGAACCACTGATTTAGATAGAAAATTGGATCTCTTATGCTTTTTATTAGAGCTAATGTAACATCTTACTAAACTGAAACCAGATACCTTGATTTATCAAATCAATCTATCACTCTTAGGCTAAGCATTTAGTTAGCCAAGCCTTCACAGGAATTCGCATCAGCTTTATTACATGTATTAAAAATTGATACTCGTCACCAGGCACCCTGGTGGTGCTGCAGTATAAGCATGTGTTGCCAACTATATGGGTCAATGGTTCAAATCCACCAGCTGCTCGGAGGGAGAAAGGTGAGGCATCTGCTCCTGTAGTGATTTAGTCTCGGAAACCCTATATAGTCGCTATGGGTCACAAATTGACTAGAAGGCTGCAAGAGCTTTTTAAAATACTCCAAACAAGTACTCCAAGTTTGTCCTATCCAGACAGATTTAGATTCTGAATCATCAGGCCACCACTTAATAAATAGAACACACAGAGAAAGACACTTCACCCTTCAAAACTACAGCGATAGCCAATCCTTCCCGAAGTCAGCATGGAGCCCCACAATGTGGAGTGCCTGTGCCCCCGTGTGTTCTGCTAAGTGCTGCACAGACTGCCTGTGGCAGGGGGGCAGGGGGCATTCCAAGCTACCATGCGGCGTGGGGGGACGATACGCCAGGGCAGGGGGGCTGAAAGGGACAATTGGTGCAAACACAAATCCTGACCAAAGATCCTTCTGGAAGGTTCTGCAAAGATAATCTGCAAAGCAGAGGCTGAGAAGAATGGTAGGACCAGTGGCAAAGCCCTGAAGCTCCCACATCTCACGGTCATAGAGCACCAGGCATCTGTGGGCTTCATCCATGTGGTTGCACTTGGTTTTCCCCTTCCCTTATCTGGCTGTATGACCACACCATCACCTCTCTATCCTCCGAGACACTTGTACTGCTTCCGGCAATCACTCCTCTTCTGTACCGTGTAAGAGGAAAATGGCATTTTAATCCCATTTTTCCACTAGTGTGTGGAAGTCCTGTGTCCTCCCCACCCCCCACCCCCACCCCACACTAGCTCCTATGGCTGCTTGAGCAGACATGTATTCTCTCTGAAACCCAGGTACCCCTGGAGCCACATTCTCTTCAACCACACCCCTGCCAACCTCTGGTGGCTGCAGGAACCCGTGGCGTGGCTTCCCCGCTCTGCGGGCCTCCATCTAGAGGTTGCTTTCTCCTCTTAGGTCACTTGGATGGCACGTAGGGCCCACCTAGATCATCCAGGGCCATGGAGCTCAAGATCCTTAGCCTTGTACCAGGCGTCTAACACTCAGAACAAAATCATACCCAATGTGAATGGGGGGAAGGGGTATGGAGACCAATGCCCATCTGTAGACAATTGGGCATCCCTCACAGAGGGGTCACCGGGAAGAGATGAGCCAGTCAGGGTGCAGTATAGCACCGATGAAACACAACTTTACTTTAGTTCTTTGGTGCTTCCTTCACCACACCCACCATCATGACCTCAATCCTGCCTTACATATCAGATTAGGCCAGAACCCACAACACAGGGATCCAGGATAGATAAACGCTTCAGGGTCAACAAGGAGAGTTGAGATACCAGGAGGATTAGGGGAGGATGGGGGTAGAAAGGGAGAATCAATCACAAGGATCAATCTGGAACCCTCTCAGGAGGACCAACAACGGAAGTGGGTGAGGGACAATGGGGGACATGTAAGATATGAAAATAATCATCTATAACTTATCAAGGGTTCATGAGGGAGGGTGGATGGCGGAGGGAGGGGGAAGAAATGGGGAACTGATATCAGGGGCTCAAGTGGGAAAAGAATGCTTTGAAAATGATGATGGCGACATATGTGCAAATGTGGTTGACACACTGGATGAATGTATGGATTGTGATAAGAGATTTAAGAGCCCCCAATAAAAGTAAGAAAAATAAAAGATCCTTGGCCTTTATCCACATGGGATCCACAGGTCCCAGGGGTCTGGTGGAGATGTACTTGGGGAGGATGGGGAAGGGGTGGTGGCTTTTTCTGGCCTACCACATATAAACACATTTCTGTCGGCTATGTTCTTTGGAGCAAAACTACGTGGAATAAAAATGATAAACCGGTTGTATGCCATGCTGTTAGAAAACACCAACTTTTCCAATGACATTAGAATACAGCGATTTTTCCAGTGAGACTGAGCCAATTTCGACTCCCTTCACTGACTAGTCAGGGAGTTTCTGCTACGTCTCGGCCTTGCTAACACTTGGTTTCACCTACCTTTCATTGTAACTACTCTGGTGGGTGTGTAGTGGTAGCTCGTGGTGGTTTACCTTGGATGTCTCAGATTTTGAACATGGTTGAGTACTTTTTAATAAGTTGACTGGCCATTTAGATATCATCTTTTATGAATTGGCTATAAAAAAATTTTACTTTTTCCTCCTGGGTTCTCACTCTCTTATTTCTAAGAGTTCTATATTCCAGAGAAGCCTAGCATCCAGTTAGATGCAGCGCAGCAAACAACGCCACCTGTGGCATCCCCTCACTCTCTCCCTAACCTTCTCATGAAGAGCAGCTCTAATCTTACTCTCGGCTCACCCATCATCTCCCTTGCTCTAGGGCTCTCTTTGGTATCCCATTTCAGAAATGTTTGCTACGCTGAGGTCTGAAGACATTCTACTATATTACCTTCAAAAAGCTTTATGCTTTGACTTCCACACAGAGGTAGTTTTAAGCCCACCTGCGATTGCTTTTTGGCTATGACCTGAAACAGGTTAAGATGTTCTGTACAGAAAGCCTATTGCCCAACATGGCTAATGAAAAGCTTGTCTTCCTCCTTTACTGTTAGAGTAAGTGTTAATGTGCTATTTCCTGGGCCCGGCACAGCTTCTCTATTTGGGTCATCCGTCTGTAAAGACCACTCTGGTGGCAAGTGGAGGATGGACTGCGGCAGGAAATGGGGGAAGACAGGTGACAGAAGACTGGAAGTTTATGTTATAAGAAAATTTCACTAAGCTGGCTTTGTAGTCACTATAATCTTACAAGTAAACAATCACCGCCAAGCTGTTACTCTGCCCTTAAACCAACATGGCACAATACACCACCGTGCAATGAGCGGTCAAGGAATAGACCACTAATCACTCCACGATGTTAGCTGGGAAGCCGTGGCCAACTGCAGTGTTCCAGCACACTAGGCAAGTCTTCTGAAGGTTCTAGCCAAGGCCCGAGTCACAGGAAGGATATGCCGAAGGGACAGGGGGAAAAGCACAAGGCCCAGGAATGAAATGCAGAATTGCAGCTTTCAAACAAAATCATTGTGCACATTCTCAAAGGATGCGCGAGTCTTAATTTCTCAAGTTGCCCCGTACTGGCCTAGACCTGCATGAAGGTCTGTACTGGGCATGGCGCCTGCAGCTCACTGAACGGAAAGTCTGGCCACTGCTCCTCTCGCATCAGCAGAGGCTGCCATGACTCCAGAGCTATTTATACACAAGCCCTCTGCGGACTACATCTCCAGAACGGGTGCCCTCATCATAGAGCCCAAAGCCCTTCTTAGTCCCTTCCTTTCCCACCTGAAGTTCAAGATGACACGCATGGCAGCCAGCGAGTTCTGGCTCAGTAGCCTGGACCACGGACACAGCCCTGCTTTGGCCATTACTCCATGTTTCTAAGCTCTATCGATGTTACTAAGGGCTCTGGGCCTGGCTGTTCAGCGGGTGAAGCTAAAAGGCCAGTTCACTGCACAAGGAGAAAAACGTGCCTCTTACAACTGCTTCAGGAAACTAGTCGTGTAGGCTGTCAGAGCGGGGTGCACAAGGCCGTATGGGGTTACAGGAAGAGTCTGAGACAAAGGGGCTGTGGAGCCTTTTCATTACCAACATCACAAAGTCACCCGGAGGATGGACTTATTTCCCACAGCTTAAAGACATGGCTGCCTTTACACTGAAGAGCTTCTTAGTTTATCTGGGAGAGGTACAAGAGGACCAACTAGCAACGATTTTGAACATTAAAATCCGTTTCAGAGATTAAGTGGGTCCCTTGCAGCTGGTTGGTGCTGTGGCAGACTCCAAGTTCCCCAATGGCATTTCACGGGAGCTCCTGATGCCCCCCTTGCTGTTGCCTGCCTTGCTTTGAGTGTGAATTTCCTCTGAATCTCAGGTTGATCATCTGTATAAAAGTAACAGTTGGGCTCAAACCAAGACCTCCGAACCCCCTTCCCTTCTAAAACTTTGCAATAATTTCCCTCCAAGAGAAATACAAATTCTATTCCTCACCAGGCTTCACTGTGGTGGGCTGCCTGAGACAAGAGCCAGCTAACCAGCTGCAGATACAGCTGCAGTGGAGCGCTACAGCTTGTGGCACTCAATTCTGTTTTCTTGGAGTCAACAGGAAAGCACTTAACTGGGCTGAGGTTCTCCCAAGAAGCTCAGCTTTGAAACGTGAGGGTTCTTCTGAGGAGTCAGTCACTACTGGCACCACCCCCACCTTTCCCCAACCAGACTGTCATACAACTCTGCCCCCCTGCATTTTAGCAGTAATAGACCTACACAGAAAACTAGGCAAGTTATCTCCTGCCAGCTGAAAAGCTGTAACTGCAATGGCCCAAGGGGTCAAAGGGAACCTGCCCTATCCAGTTTGCTCTCTATTGACTCCTCTGGGAAAACAGCTGGTCATAAATGATACAGGCTGTGGGAAAATGTTTGTTGTCTGGCTACCAGAGGTCCCTGGGTCCTCCCTTCAGAGATAAACAAAGAGGGAATCCAATCAGAGCAACGCCAGACAAGTGCTGCCTCAGTCACTGATTGCAGCAGATTCCCATTTCGTAGGGCAACTGTGTGGTCCCACGTGACTCAATG